GACTATCCAGTCTTAAAAAAAAAAATGCAATATTATGCATAACCTGCATTGTAGTCTGCATGTTTCTCCCCAAGTGCAGGGGTGCTTCAATCACTTGTATCGCTAGCTATATGACCATTAGTTTCAAATGATCCCAACGCGAGGAGATGCGAGGAGTATTGCAAACGGAATTTGAACCTTGGCAGGCTGACCATTTGCTGGATGCTTCGCACGCACGGTGCTACAACTTCAAACCCTGCGGTTTGATGCCATGAGAGGGCGAGAAAGCCCACTTGGACCACGAAGGGACAAGTTAATTTGAATTTGATGTTCGTTGCCGAAGCGCGCTTCGAAAGCATGGCCCAACAATGCTGTCGAATTGCGGCGTGTTCAGCTTTTAGCGTCCGATAAGTTAGTGTCCAACAGCCTACGTTGCATGCATCGCTGTGATGATCCTCGCCTCTGTGGAAGAAGCCGTTCAGCCGAGCAACGAACGGAGTGAGGATTCCATGGAAGAACCGAATCTCCTTATGGACTTCTTCAATGCGATTTGGCTGGAAGAAATTTCACCGGCGTCACTTCGCACGTGGTGCCAGTGATGCTTCAGTCAAGGGCTCAACAGGCAAAAGTGGATAAAAATGGACAAATCAAAGCGACATCCTTCAAATTTCCGCATTTTGGAGAAAAATAGAAAAACCAAACTTGTGGTCATTTTTGCATTTTTGCGGGATTTCTCTGGAAGAGTGCAAAATGTTTTACTATTTGTGCATTTTTCCTGCATTTTTCTAAGATTTTAGAGCAAAGTGGAGAAACAAAGGTTGTGGCCACTTTTGAATTTGCAAGGGTTTCAATCAAAAGTGCTACACCAAAGTTTTGGCCAATTTGGGCCAAAACAGGTAGGGCCACATACTCCTAAGTGCTTAAGTCGTTGCGTTCACACCCTTGGGGAAAAATATCAAACAAAATCAGGGGGTCATTGCGAAACAGAGTGCAGGTGCAGGAATGCATATTGAAATGTTCAGGTAATTTTTTGTGACCAAACAACTAGTTAACATTTTGGGTTTCCAAATTGGATGTGGCTATCTGGAAAAGCTATAAAATGTAGACATTGCTGCGTTTACATAGATGGATTTCAGTATGGTTCTTAAATCCATTTCGGCGGCACTTGCGCTGCTGAGGAGAATCAGGCTCAAGATTCAGCTGGCCAAGGCATGTATGAGGCTGATGAAGAGATGCAAGCTCAAGAAGGATCCAAGCCTGGAAGGCAGGATGTTCTCCCCACTCCACAAAGAAAGCTATACTCGGTCAGTCGATGTTCTTCGTGATTTTGCTTTGGGATGCCCTTGGAACGCCAAGGCCGAATGGGAACCCTGTTAGATCATTCTATGAGTGGAAGCCTCATCAACCATCATTTTTTAATTTCTTTAATTTACTTTTTCAATAAATGTCAAGTAATTAGAAAATAAAAAATAAGCAATGAAACCTGCACTGCCAAAAGGCAGCCCTGCTTGCATTGATGATCTTGGGTGTTTGAATCTGGGTGCTACAATGTTGAATGGCAGTACTTGTTTTGATTGATCCAACATTTGCTTTTCTTTACTTAGGACTTTCTCGAATCGGCAAGCCCACAAGATCGACAGTGACGGCCTTGAGTTCTTTCGTTCTTTTTCAAAAGCAAGATTGCCAAGAGCTTGAGCGGTTTGACTCTATTTTTACCACACCCTTTTCGAATCCTGTCTGATTTTTACATTTTTTTCCCCCAGGGACCCGAATTTCCGAATGACTCAGATTTCTCAGATGTGCTCCAGTGCAGCTTCCAGGCCAAGGTCCCAGTCTTAGAGGTTCCAGTGCTCACAGGTTTGCCTTGTTGTGGGAGGTTCAGGGCAAGGTTCCAGGTCATGAGCAGGTTGCAAGGTTTGGGTCATGGTGCCTGGTTCCTCCAGTTCGGGTTCCACAGGGTTCTCCCCTAGTACCACCAGAGCTTGTTTGAATTCTATCGTGGCAAAAGGTAAATAATTTAGTTAAATATGCGTTTTCCGTTTTGCAATTCAACCAGGATTAGGTATGCCGCTCGAAGAAATGCTGCCATTGTGTGGGAGGGGCCCGAGAGTGGTCTGAAGATCAAAAATGGGCAGATTTGCACATGTGGCATGTTTGTCTTTCAAGGGGACGACCCTCTCCTGCAAGCTCTGGAAGGCCACTCCGATGTGATCCTTACAGCGCGGCGTACTTTCGGCCAAACTTCCCACAGGGATGGCCCCAAAATTGGTGCCACGGCCGACCAGTTCCCCAAGTCCATCGTCAGCTTGAGCGATAGATGAGGAGATCAGGAACGCATTTTTTACGTTCAAGGAGGGGCGGGGTATTGCTTGTGCCCGCCCACTGGGCTTGAAGCTGGGGTCGCCTGACTTCACAACCTGCGACTTGGGTGATTTCCTCGCCTTTCTTCGTCATATGGAGCATCACCAAAGATGGGAACCAATAGGCTGTATTGTTTGGTTTTGAAGATTGTGGCCCAGATCGGGGAATTTTTTGTCTGAACCTATCAAGCAGATGGAATGCCTGGTTCCTTGTGACAAGCGAAAGCTTCCCATAGTGAATCCGTATCAGCGGAAGCAAAAGCTGCCGGAAGCTGACTTGGGAGTGTCAGATGCGATTCTTGGCATGCCATATTTATGCTGTATGGTAGTTGCCATCTTCACTCCATCTTTCGCCAAAGCAGGACAGAAACTTTTCCTTGCACGGAGCGCGACAAACTTGATTTCAGTAATACGCATGGCCTTCAGGCAAACTCTTTTCATAAATAGATAAATGTTTCATATACCCAGATACTTGTTTCACCTTGTTTGATGAGAGATAGTTTGGCGACCTGATGAAGGACAGGTCCTGCACATACAGATTTCGTGTTTAACATAGCCTGTGCCATGCGGATTTGGAAAGGAACACATGTTCTTGACCCCAAAAAAACCATATGAGGGTTAAACACTTATATGATATGATGGTGTGCCATTGGGAAAGCAACAAAAACATATAAAGTATAAAACAAATTTTCTTTTTTGATCGGGGTTTGTAGATGTGCCAACAGGGAAAACCACTTGCAAAGACTTTTGCAAGGACCCACTTTGCGACCGTGTGCCATGCTGATTTTTATAAAACACAAGACTTGAAAGGACTTCTGCTTTGTGAGGGGGCGCAATTTTGGATATTTTTTGTTGGCGCAACAATTTTGAGCGGGGTTTCGGGAAAAGGGGTGCAAATTAAACAAAAATGTGTTTTTTTTTGTGGAAGGTCTTGATTTTGATTCATATTCGCATTGCAGTGGCGTTTCCAAAACTCAGCTGGTACCTCAGATGTCCTTTGTTGAGTTCTGAGGTCAAAATTGTTTCCAAAGACGCTTAAACGGAAGGGGCAAAAAGATTTTGCGCAATGTCCGTTTTTAATCAACCAAACTAAAAGAGCACATTGAGAGAAAATATTTTTCGAAGGCGGGGGAACATACGATTATATAAAATTCAAAAGAATCCATTCAGTGACCTATGAGTTTAGAAATCGCACCGAGAGATGCACAAACAAAATATTGGAATCAAAACCAGGTAACTTTTACAGTACATGCCAGGACTGGATGGCTAGCCAGATCTCCATGGCATCCACCAACATCAAACAATACACGGCATCCCCCGATGCATTGAATCCATGCTATCGATCTGGTCAACATACGCCGGGCTGGGGTATACCCAAGAATCACATGACAATGGCAAAGGAGAATCGTTATCAAGTATTTTGGTTCTGGTATGCTTACTTTTTGTTCCTTTTTCGTTTTAGAAAAGTAACATTTTTCAGACCTTTCGACATTTCGGTTTTACTTTGGTCATGTCCCTGAACATCTGCCACTGAAATCGACTTTTTGGAAGTTCCTCGTGGCCTTTGTGACTCCAATTGTCGAAGTGAAGTCGGATGCAAAAATTCTGAATGAACTAATTGTTCCCCACCTGCCAGGTGAGGGTTGTTAGATTTTATCAGAGCGCTCTTCCTCCGCGTCCTCGTCATCGTCCTCATCCTCCTCCTCCTCGACTAGCTGTCCTCTTCCTCCTCGTCCTCCTCCTCGCCTCCTCCTCCAGTTTCTCCTCGACCTTGTCTGCATCAACTTCCACCTGCACTTCCACCTTGCCAACTCTTCGCCAAGCTCTTTGCCAACTCTCTTCGCCGACTCCCTGCGCCAAGCTCTTTGCCAACTTCCCAGCTCAGTGTGCACCGCTGGACCTCAACCTGGGACCTGCCCAGCTCAGTGTGCACCGCGGGACCTCAACCTGGGACCTGCCCAGCTCAGTGTGCACCGCTGGACCTCAACCGGGGACCTGACCAGCTCAGTGTGCACCACTGGACCTCAACCTGGGACCTGCCCAGCTCAGTGTGCACCACTGGACTTCGAACTGGGACCTGCCCAGCTCAGTGTGCAACGCTGGACCTCAACTTGGGACCTGCCCAGCTCAGTGTGCACCGCTGGACCTCAACGGCCAGATAGAAAGCCAGAAGAGATGCCAGATAGAATGTCAGATAGAATGCCAGAAGATATGCCAGATAAAATGCCATGAGATATGCCAGATAAAATGCCATAAGATATGCCAGAAAGAATGCCAGAAGATATGCCAGATAGAATGCCAGAAGCTATGCCGGATAGAATGACAGAAGGTATGCCAGATAGAATGTCAGATAGAATGCCAGAAGGTATGCCAGATAGAACGCCAGAAGATTTGCCAGATAGAATAACAGAAGATATGCCAGAACATATGCCAGATAGAATGCCAGAACATATGCCAGAAGATATGCCAGATAAAGTGCCAGAATGTTTGCCAGATAGAATGCCAGAAGATTTGCCAGATAGAATGCCAGAAGATATGCCAGAACATATGCCAGAAGATATGCCAGATAGAATGCCAGAAGATATGCCAGAAGATATGCCAGAACATATAACAGAAGATATGCCAGATAGAATGCCGGAAGATATGCCAGAAGATATGCCAGAACATCTGCCAGAAGATATGCCAGATAGAATGCCAGATAGAATGCCAGAAGATATGTCAGAATATATGCCAGAAGATTTGCCAGATAGAATGCCAGAAGATTTGCCAGATAGAATGCCAGAAGATATGCCAGATAGAATGCCAGAAGGTATGTCAGATAGAATGCCAGAAGATATGCCAGATAGAATGCCAGAAGATATGTCAGATAGAATGCCAGAAGATATTTCAGATAGAATGCCAGAAGATATGCCAGAACATATGCCAGAAGATATGTCAGAATATATGCCAGAAGATTTGCCAGATAGAATCCAGAAGATTTGCCAGATAGAATGCCAGAAGATATGCCAGATAGAATGCCAGAAGATTTGCCGGATAGAATGCCAGAAGATATGCCAGATAGAATGCCAGAAGATTTGCCAGAAGATATGTCTGAACATATGCCAGAAGATATGCCAGATAGAATGCCAGAAGATATGTCAGGTAGAATGCCAGAAGATTTGCGAGTAACAAAATGTATAAATGTCATGGTGTGGATCACACGAAGTAAAGTAATTCTTTTAATCCAGATGGATTCCTTTCAGGATGAGACAGGATCCTGATTGAACATGTTTTTCAATGATTCTGATTGAAAATAAGAACATTTATGATGGATTCCATGTTCTCCAGGATCCTTTCGCAGCGCGTTTTGTGCCTTTTCCTCCTACGGATGAGAGAAGGATCTACAGTGCTTGGTTTGCAAGTGAAAGCATGCACATTGATTTCCATTTTCCATATGCCAAAGGTGCTGATGATGCGATGTCTAATATGTCTACCTTCGTAGTATTTGCAATGCCTTTTGAGTTTTCAGTGTAGTTTACCTATGTTTAGCCGCTCTGTTTTGCCAAACGTCCACACATGTCCAGATATGATATCTCTTGCATTTTGTCATCTCAGGCAAAGTTCATGCCATTTGCCCGGACGGTCAGCACAGAGCGATTCTCTTGAGCTTGCCATGTGGATGCAAGCCGGCGGCCGAGAGTGGCGAGAGTGGCCAGAGCCGCGAACTTCTCGCACGAAGCTCACAGCTGCCAGGATCTCAATCGGCAATGCAGACTGTCACAATGACACAATGTGACACCTGGAGGTGTAGCACAGTATTCCACAGTGTTTTGGTAGGTAATAATACGGTAGTAATAATGTATAATTCCTAGCGCCAGAGAGCTAATTATGTTTTCAGATGCTTTCAGAATTTCAGAGTTTTTTTTTTAATGTTTACCCTCTGGTAAACTAACATAGCTATTGAAAATGGCCATTTATAGTGGATTTTCCCATTAAAAATGGTGATTTTCCATAGCTATGTTAGTTCACCAGAGGGTAACCAATTTTAACCGGCTGCAAAACAGCAGGTCTCAGCAGCTCTCCTTCAAGTGCAGCCTCTTGCGACGGAGCATCGAGCGCGGACGTCTCTTCGGAGGTGGTCGCAAGGCTGTGGAGGAGGCGGTCTCCAGCGGTCTCAGAGTGGCTAAACGTGTCAAAAACCGTGCTGAATCTGATGACTCTATGGGGTTTTACAATGTTATGTCAATTATTATAATGTTATATAATATATAATACTACTATATTAATGATTATTAATGTACTTATATTAATGGCGTTTGATTAATGGCGTTATCCAATGTGTTGGGGAAATATGGATGAAGAGTTGGGGATTGTCAATTCATGATAGATGGGAAAGTCCCCTTGACCAACCAGTAGAAAGGGACATAAAGGGACGACAGAGGATTTGGGCCAGGTGATGACACGAGAACCATGAAATCAAATGATGTGTTGAAATTGGTCAAGTGGATGTGTTATGATTTCACATCATTTCCATGTAACTACTCTAACTATGACGTCTTGAATCAAGTCTTGAAAGAGCAGTCACAGAAATCGCCGGATCTGCTCATGAAGCACACGTCGCATCATAGGCTATCGGATGTCAGATATCTGCGTTTGCTTCAGAGGCCTTCACTGCGATTTTGGATTCTCCAGAACCGTCTGCGACAGCTTCCGCTCTACGCTGTCTGACGCTGGCCACTTGGCCTCTAGAAGGTGTCAGGTTTGAAGGTGTTTCAGGATTTATGATGATTTTTGTTGATTTTTGTTGATATGTTTAAAATGAACTAAAATGACATTTTGACATGTTTTCACACTTTAGCGGGAAAACTCCCAGCGATACGATCCGTGGCCATGGCCGCTGTTTCAGGTCAGCATGGAAGCCGTGAGGCTTTGGAAGGCTCGACCGGAACATGTGAGCTTCGGCAGCCTGGCCATGTGCCTTGGATCGCGTCAACATTAGTCAACTGGTGCAACTGGTGATGGTCGAATTATATTAGAATTATTAAACATAGCCATGGAAAATGATGGAAAATGGCCCATTTATAGATGGTTTAGTTTACCTATTAAAAATGGTGATTTTCCATGGCTATATGTTAAATAACCAGAGGGTATATTGGAATTAATTGTGGACTCCGTAGTTTTCAAGTTGGCCTTCCATTCCCGTGTCACATGACAGCGAAAATGGGCAGTCCATGGCAGTCCTGATCAGCCACAGCGATTTCAGCAGGCTCGCCATCTTGGCCAGTAGCGTACCCTCTTGGCGACCGCCTTTGGCTCTGCGTGAAGCGCTGCTACGCACTGTTGCTGCAGTACAGGCAGCGGATCAACCAGAGCCGCTTGGCAGCCAGAATTCACTGCAGTTCGCTGCAGTTCAATGGCACAGGATATCACAGGATATTCTGGGAAGGTAACACTGCATGCTGGGCTACCGTGGGCTGCTCACTAAGTAGCTCTGATACCTTTGACGTCTTCTCAAGCCTTGTGGGACAGACAAAAGCAAACGACAACACAACTACAGTGGCATAGATACATGACACACAATATGTTCATGCATTTTCTGATAAACTCTATTGTTCCATATTGTTCCACGTTTCTGCAATTCATTCAAATCAACTGAACAAGATCGGAGATTCATGGATACGCGGATACATCTCTCGTCCGCGGCTCGGAGCTTATTGGGTGGCTGTTCCGGTGCCATGGCGGAGACCAAAGAGCTGAAGATCTTGCAGCCCGATGATTTCCACCATCACTTTCGCGATGAACCCTTCCTGGAGCATACTGTGCCTTTTGGCTAAGGATTAGCTAATGGCTAAGACAAGCTATGCTAATGGCTAAAAACTATGGCTAAACTATGCTAAACTCAACGATAACGAAACTTCATCGAACTTAGTAAGCCGGCTTCCTTGCTTTCGTTGATCCTGTAGGCTTAGGCATGCCAGAATTTCGGACATGACTCGACGCGGAAAAAAAAAGGTGTGAATTTTCATCGTACCTACTGTATGGATTTGTATGGCCTATATAAATACATCTAGATACATCTGAATCATCTAAATACCCGAGTATGACTGGACAAACTGCTGCGCAAATCGGAGATGACACACCAGGCCCCATGCAGCCGCTGCCTTTTGTCGAGTTCTCGTGATGCCAAATCTGGTGCCTCCAGTCACGACCACCCAAGCTGCTTTGGCCTATCGCGAGCGCATCCTCCTTCGTCTGCCCAAGACCATCAAAGAAGGAGAGTTTGTGCCTTTGATGACGTGACTTGGCAGATAGGAGGACTATTGGCTAGCAGGCCAGTCGCAGGTTTCATGTGCTATCATAGTGGTATCTTCATGTTCCTTAGTCATCCTTAGTCGCCTTAGTCATAGCGTCGTAGATAGTAACTGTTGGCCGCAAGAATCCAATGCCATCCAGTGCCATCCAGTGCTGCGGCCGAGGCTTTACCTCACTGACAACATGACACCCGAGGAGATCACAAAGGCCAAGGCCAGTGGCCACATCTACGCTGTGAAGCTGTACCCTGCTGGAGCCACTACCAACTCCGATTTTGGAGTCACGGACTACGAACGTATCATCCCAGCCCTGAAAAAGATGGAGGAGCTGGGAATTTTGCTCTTGGTCCATGGTGAATCAACAGATCAATCCGTGGACATCTTCGATCGTGAAGCGGACTTTTATGACAAAGTTATGCCAATGAACCTTGGTATGTGACCCCACCAACAGCAAGATCACGGGGTGGTTTGACTTGGGCAATTTGTTCGATTTGTCACATGCCGTTTCGGTAGAATTTCTTTCAGCCACGGTGCTTAGGATTCTGGCTCGTTGTCCAAATTTGAGAGTGGTTTGTGAGCACATTACGACAGCAGCAGTGGCATGCTTTGTGGAAAAGGCCCCGGGCTTGGAAAGTGGCAACCGCAGCGGCAGAAGCGAACTCATCTTTTAATACCCTCAACGGCCCTCAACTACTTAGGGTCTATAGTACCCAACCCTTATGGACCTTATGGGTTTGTGTCACGGGGTCCAAAGAGGCCAACCTCCCACCCCAGACCCACCCAGGCCCCCCGGCACCCCCCTCACCCGGCAAATGGCATGATCAACATCTTGGAAAAAAAAAGACAATCCTGATCATCGGTGACCATGCAGGTTCACTTTTGTTGACACAGATCATATCAATATCATGCTGTTAAATAACACGTTTCTTCGGTTTTCTTCATATTCATTTTGTAGAGACAGCTGCTTCGAGATTCTCCGACCATCTTCTTGCTAGGGGGTTATTTCCTAGAGCTTTGTCGTATCTGTGTGCCTGTTGTATCCTGTTGTTGTTTCCTACATTTTTCTTGGAACGCTTTATTTGCTTGTTTTTGTTGCCTTTCTTGTTCAAAAAAAGTTACTGCTGGTGCTGGTACTGGAAGGCACTGAGAGGAGTTCCATCTTTCAAGAATGCTCCGAGGGGATTGACCCAAGGAGTTCTCCTTGTGACATGGAGACTGATCCGTGTACATTCTTGGAAGATCTTGGAAGGAGGGATGCAATATGATGCAATCATGGTCACATTGCTTTCTGTGTTGCCATTTTCTTTACCAAATGCCTCAAAACCTTCATGCTTTCCTGCAGGAGTCCAAAGTCATGGGGTCTAGAATGGTGTTGCAAGGGATGGGCAGCCCAAAAACACATAACGTTTCCAATGACATTATAGTAGACCCAAAGTACTTGGTAAAAGCATTACTTCACTATACTTCACTTGTTTCTCCTTTTCTTGGGGCATTTGTACTGTACTGTAGCCACGTCTTCGGTATTCGGTCTTGGAGTCAATCGTTTGGTGAAAAACCTTGTGGTACAAATTCCACAGCTCAATATTGCATATGGGGCATGTTTGTTACCTTCTGCTGCCTTTTTTCCGCCACAGCTAAGTAGCTGCCTTTTTCAGGCATCGCTACAGTCTCGTGCGCCTTTTGCCGACCACATCTTCCAAAAACGTCCGAACGCCGCACTATTTTACCATGTTTATCTGAAATCGAACTCTGTTACAGTCCTGTGCACTTTTTGTCGGCAACTTTTGCCGATCGACAACTCAATATTCCATATGGGGCATGTTTGCTGCCTTTTCCTGCCTTTTTCCCTGCACAGCTAAGTAGCTGCCTTGGGCTGCCTTTTTCAGGCACTACTTCACTTGTTATCCTTTTGTTGGAACATTTGTACTGTACTGTAGCCACGCGCTTGCTTTCTCATTTTTTTGTAGCATCTGAATAAACCAATCGGGAAAAATGGTTGCTTTATGTTCAAAACCTAGTGACGTAGGATTTTCTCTTTAGACCCCTGGCTTCCGAACATCCAAAAGGTCTGAAGCTAGGAAATTGATTTAACATAAACGGAACCAGATAATCCAAATAGACCCCTGTTTCAGGGTCTAGACTCTAGACTCTCTAGACTAAAATAGCCAAGGTCACTGCTAAGTAGTTGACGGTAAAATCACAGATCATGGCCAGAGGTCTTGTGCAAAGTTTGCTCTCAACCATGACTTGCTATCTGAGCCTCCGGGTTTGTACTTGGAAAGGAAACATTTGGAAACACTTGAAAAGTTCAATTTGATGGAACCCGAACCCAGTGATGCAGGCTGGACCGAATGTTGCTGCCACAATTACAGCTCATCACCTTTGCCACAACAGGAATGCAACTCGTCTTTGGTGCGACACTTTGTTTCATTTGCCACGTGCTTTCAGTCTTTGACACGAATCCCGCGATGCCAAGGCAATCTTTAAAGGTGGCATCAATCCTCACTACTACTGCCTCCCAATCCTGAAGACAGAGCAGGATCGGCTGAAACTCGTGCAGTGCGCAGTGGAGAATTCGAAGTTCTTCCTGGGGACAGATTCGGCACCTCACACGGTGGGAAAGAAGGAGTGTGCATGCGGCTGTGCAGGCTGCTTCACTGCACACATGAGCATCGAACTCGTTGCTGAGGCCTTTGAGCCTTGTTTTTTTTTGGAGATCTTTGGAGCTCTTTGGAACATGACACGTCTGACATTAATGTGTTTTAATGTGTTTTAATGTGTTTTAATGTGTTTTAATGTGTTTTAATGTGTTTTAATGTGTTTTAATGTGTTTTAATGTGTTTTAATGTGTTTTATACATTTTTATGGCATTGGATATCATTTGATACAGTATTGTGGGATATTGTGGGGTTCCACTTGGTTGTCCTCCAGCTTCAACTATCGACGGCCTTTGCTTCAAGGGAAAGCGATTGCTATATGCTATAGCATCCATAGTTGTGTTGAAGTCCGTTGGAAACAAGGTGTTTTTGGAGGGTGCTGCTCTCACAGTGTTTTGCTTGTCATGTCAAGGCTCTGCTGCTATGTGCGTGCTAGGAATCTATAGCATATAAAGTCTATGCTGGCATGTCTTTTCGTTTCTATTTTTTCCTTTCTTAATATTTTCCGAATCTTTCAATGTGTGTCCGTAAAGTGTTTTTTAACATATTGGCCGTGTACTTTGGATGCGTTCGGGCGTGGTGGGTGTGAGAAAGGGATGGATGCCGCACATTGCAAGGTGATTCCTAGAAGCGTGCACCCACCAATGCACCAATGCACCAATGCACTCATATTTTTTAATTACCGTTTGAGAGGTGAGATGGGGTGTTTGCCTTCTTGGCTTTTGGGTTTCTGCTGAGTGAGCATTGATTGGCTTGATGAATGCATATGAATGCAATTTTCTCAGAAGAACAGGGCCATTGGGGATACTGTTTGATTCGCATTAGGTGAAAGATGTCATGAGCCGCATGACAAGACTTGTCAAGTCATCATGTAGACTGTGACTGAGGAATCGGTTGGGGGATTGGATTCTTTGGAAGATTTCGTTGCAAAACGCGGTGCTTCTTTTTATGGTCTGCCCCCGGCTGCTAGCACACGCCTGTTGGTCAGGGAGAGTTGGAAGGTTCCTGACCACTATCCCTTTGGTGATCAGTGTCTAGCTTGCATCCCAATATGACCTCATGATAACTCATGTGCCAAATATTGGTGCAACAAGATCTGACATTCATATATACATATATATATATTATATTATATACTCTATATATATATTACGTATATACTATATATATATATATATACGTACGTTCATCACTTTGTTCAAGATTTGGATCCTTGGATCCACGAGCAAAATTGTGATTTTCGGATGCGTCGCAGCCCATTCCCTCCCAAAAATTCTGCACGAGTTTTTTCACGATGTTCTCCTATTCACAATGGCCTCACAATGGCCTCACAAATGATAAAACTGTGTGTTTTTTTCAATCCTTCCATTTGTCAGACAATCCGCGACGGTCTGACCTTTGTTTTCATCTAAGGCTGGTGCGACCTCTTCGTGCTGGAGAAGAAGCCAAGTGGAAGCTCCGGCCAAGGTTGTGAAGGCGAAGGAACATCCTGGCAACACATCCTGCATCGGTTTCATGGATGTGACAGATTGGGTATGATTGGGTGATGTTTCTCTTTGAATGATTCCTTCATGGCATTTCAAAACTTAAAGAATCGAACGTCTCAAAACTTGAAAACGTGTTTAAAGATGTGTAAAGATGTTGTTGATCGACGCTTTGAAGGAATCACTATGGGGCATCATGGCCTGGTGCGAATAACTGCTAAAACGCGGTTATACATAGGTTTCCTTTGTTTCAAGCGCTCGTCGCTTTTGAGTTCCATAAATTCTGTCTAGGGTAATAGTCTAATGGTGCTCATGTACCTACATAAAAGCACATGTCTATGTATTTTTTCTGGTGTGTTTTATTCTTTGAGCCTCGCAACATGACCAAGTGCGTGAGGGGCTGGCTGTTCTTGTTGGAAATGAGCAGGTGCCGCAACTTGGAGTGGCTGGAAAAAGGTGCTGTTTGATGTCGCTTGGGGCTGCTTTTCTTGCAGGAAGCGTTGTGAGAGTCCGCAACCGGCCTCCACTAATGAAAACAATAAGTCCAGAAGAACAACAACGAAAACGGCAACAACATCGACAACGACAACGACAACGACAACAACAATATCAAGATCACTATGAAACAGAAGCAACACGAATAGGAAAAAAATCTTAATGCATCTACATTAATATCATAGGCATTTGGCAAGATTCAAACATGGCGGGGGGAGCAGAGTGTGGAATGTGGTAGACATGGTTCGGGCATGTTCAGGTGACATCCTGCACGTTGCCACTGTCACTGCTTTGTTCCTGAGGTCTTGCATGCCTTGGCGAAATTGGCGGAAGCCAGAGATTGGAGGCGACGACGGTGGTTTGGCAACTCATCAGCCGCAAGGGTAGATGAATTCAGTTGGCGTGCATTGCAGTGTTGCCTAGCGGCCTAGCGTCCTCATCGGACAGCTGCAGAGTCACGCTCGACAGAGAGAGAGAGGAACAATTTTGTGGCTTGTTGATGTTTCACACACATTCCCATCATTCCCCAGATTTCCCGAGCACACGTTTGCACTCCAAGGAATTTCAGAACGACGACTTGTCGCAGCTTCGCAATGCCTTGAGGCACTTGACAAGAGGCTTCCTGGGATGCCTGGCAGCTGAAGAGGTGGGGGACACTTGGAGGTTTACCACTCGGCCACGGCCAAGCCAAGTCATGCGGGGATCAGTTCGTGTGAAAATGGCGAGGCCGACATGGTCGGGCGCATCTTGGCTACCTTGGCGGTCAGCTTTTTACATTTTTACATCATGCCACTACCAGGTGCTAGCAGCATTTGTTTGGTTCAAATGATGTCAATTTCATCAACGATCAGGTTACACTGACGTCATGGTAAATCGTGGCGGCTTGCCGCTCTATCACCTTCCACTTCCTCGGCCAGAGATGGAGGAGCACCATTATGACCTCCTTTTTGTATGGTTTTCTGCGGGATTTTTGGTCATTTTTGGTCATTCCTGGTTGACCTGGTGTGATTTCAGGAGACGTTACCTTCTGACTACCGAAGTGCTGCTGTGCCTCGGCAAATCGGAAAGTTCTGTGCGCCGTTTGTTGTGTTTGTTTGGACAAATGGTCGAGATGTCACTGCAAGTCAGTGCAGATTTGCTTTATAATAATATACATGTATATTATTATTATTATACTAACTTTATATATCGTATATAATCTTTATTACTATATATTACTATTTTATAATATTTTATAATACCCCTTACAATATTTTATACTCGTTGGTTGTGAACAGCACGATGGGTTTGACGAAAACTCAGGTCGACTGTAGTGTCCTTCCACAGCTGCCACTTCACTTCCAAGCTGCGTTGACCAAGCCACCACTGTGTGAAAGCACGAATTTGAAGGACTCGAAATTACCGAAACGATGTCAACGTGGCTCAACTGTACCTTGACATGACATAGTGACATGGTGAAACACGGCTTTCACTTCCTGTCCATGGTTGAGTTGGCTCCACTGGCCGGAGCATGGTAACCACGTATAGAGGACCTGCATCTTCGCAACCTGCGCTTCTTCATAGAGCAGCCTCTTGGAAAGAACTGAACAGCAGAGGGACAAGTGCTTGTGTGGGAGACTTTTAAGTTTCCTCTTGCTAATGAAATTGCTCATGTGAGAGGCTGCAAGCAAATCTGAAGAAGCGGACGCTTCTCTTGCGTTTTCTCAGTGCTGACCAAACCCAAACTCTGACATCTGAATTTATCTTCCGGATTGCTAAGCCGATGAATGCTTGAACCCCCAGATCGCATGCAAGGTGCGCGATGTTTCTTGTAACGACTTTTTTCCAAGGACCCAGTTCAACATCCGCCAGCAAAAAGACATCAAACGAAGAGGCGGACTTGTCACAGATCTACCCCAAACGAATCACAAAGAAGGCGTATGGATGCGTATGGGCAATCCCTTTGGCGCTTGTGCTTGATACACTTGCTAGATTCTGAATTGCGAAAGGAAATAAATGAGAGACCTTGAGATTCCGGGCGTGGCTGAGCCAGCTGTTTTCATAAGCTGTCAATCCTTCACCGTCGATGCTCTGAGGCGGTTACATCGAAGCAGGGGACATGGAACGTATCGTCAACTACATGGACGAGGACCATGGCCATGGTGACCTGAGCTTGCACCAACCGCTGGGCATGATGTGTTTAGGGCCACATCATGCCATATCTCAGTCTTGGGTTTGAACAATATATCGATGTATAATGGTGTATATATATATATTATATTATATATGATATATGATATATGATATATTATATATTATTATATATTATTATTATTGTTATTATTATGATTATATTATTATATATATATATATATTATATATCATATATCATAAGAATTCGTATTATATCCGAAGGCTCTCTTCAGTCTGCGTTCGTTGCAGGAGCATTTCGCCCAGGGCAGAGACCTTGCAGAGGCGAGAGCGCTGCCAGAGGATTCACGCTTGCGCGAAGTGAATTCTGAGGGCTTCACCAGCGAAGAAGAGCACTCGGACCGCATAGACCTTGTGATTCTTGTGATTCTTGTGAACCATTGGCTGATGTTTAGGGCATGTTATATACAGAACTCTGGCTCTCATACGCATTCATTGGAGCAGTGTCCATGCTATTCCGCAACGGTTGCAGAGACTGGCAGAGACTGGGGTTGTGGACTTGAAGTGGCTTGACTTTTTTGTCTTATATTATCATTCACCTTGTGTATCTTTTACAATCCTTTACCGTCCTTTACATTGTTTCCATCTCCAAGGTGTCACTTGCAATCGGAACGTTGCCGCAGTCTCCAAGAGACTTTGAAGTCGCTGCAGAAGCAAACGCTGCAAAGGTCTTTGCAACGGGCAGCGCTGAAGCCTAGGTCGACTTTGGGCCACTGTGTCACCTTGCCCCGTCTTGTCCCAATCGGAAAGCACTTGGGAAAGCATAGAAGCATCATGAAGCATCACTTGAAGCATTCAAATCATTCAATATTTCGATATGATTTGGAGGTCTTTGGACGCACTGAACAGGAACTTGTGGCAAATCTGAATGCATTTAGATGTCCTGCGGCAACTTTGCTCTGCGGAGGCAAGATGATTCAGTACCGCTGGAGGGCGCAACGTGTGTCGAATCGATTGACCCCAGTGCCCGGTTGGATGCCTGGCAGAAAGCAAAAGCAGAAGGCCTTCCCATCCAGTGTAAAAGGATGCAATATAGACAATTTATACCAATTTATATTATAGAATGTATATGATATTTTACAGATATAATTGATAATACACACGGATACGCAGATACATAGATCCATAGATACACCGATACAGAGATACATAGATACACAGATACGCCTGTTTCGCCATTGTGTGTCTCTGCCAGGGGTTGGGGTGGGGGCTTCTGAATAGAACATTTTGCCAAGTTTTGTGAGGATGAGGTGGGTTAGGCTGGGGTAGGGTGGGGTGGAGGCAGTGGTGGGGTGGGATGCGGATGGATGCGGCATTTCCGAGGTGGGGCTGGTAAGTTTTCAAGGTGGGGTTACTATGTTTTCAGGGTGGGGTTGGCGACCCGACCAGCAACTGGAGGCGAACAAGTAACAAGGATTATAAACGGGAACCCTTCGCTACGCCCTACGCATTCGGTAATCAACTAGCCTTCCACGGGCTTGGCGCAGTGTGAAACCCCCAAGCAGGTGATCAAGGTCATTCATCCCGCATTTGCATATACGTGTGCATATTCATATACAAAACAAATACATAGACATATACATGTACATATACATGTACATATACATATACATTTGCATATACATATACATATTATTTCATATGATTTTATACGAGAAATAATTCTGCCTGAATCGTTGCCAGAAACCTACTGGAAGTGCAATTCAAGTCTGTGTTTTGTGCCAGAAACATTGTGGATCATTGATGTCCCGAGCCCGGCTGAAGCCAGCCATGGGTAAGTTCATGTCATTTCTGGTTTCGTATGGGCCAACGGCGCTGTGAGATGAGGATGCGTTTCTTAGCTGCTTCGGTGGGTCAGTGGAAGTCAAGATACCAGGGAAGGACACCGCTTGATGCATTCAAAGAGTGTGAATTCCTTTGAAAAAAATTGTCCAAACCAAACAATGAATGCAAAATTGAAATTGAAATAAATTGAAACGTACTGAAACCACAGTGTCTCAAAGAGGGAAAAGATGAGTGCAGCAAGCGGCAGCAAAAACATACGTAGCACAGTGCACCCGCATCCCTCGATCCACCAGGATGTGCGCGGACATTTGCGGGTGACTTGTGCTCGGAAAGACACGCCAAAGAGGCCTTTGCTGATTCAGAAGGCACAGAAGGTTTCAGCAACAGGAGACTCGGACATGGTTCGGATTTATCATGTACTTTTGCAAGGGGCCAAAAGAAAACATTCAAGGGAAATCGTGGCATGCAAGAGAGCTGAATTACATATGATAATCGGATGCATGTGGTAGAATCGTTTGACTTGGACGACCTGAGATTCGGCAAAGGAGACAGAGATGGAGCCTTCCAAGAAGTCCTTGACACAACTCTTCGCGAGGCCACTTTTGAGCCACGCAGCTGATGACATTTCGGATTCGCATGGACCTTGACAGGCCGCCACTAAGGAATTCTGCAAATCATTTGGGAAAGGAGCCTTGCCACGTCCACCACAAGGTTACGTTTGGAATGTGCCTGGACCCTTGGCTGGATTAGTTCATTCTATTTTCATCTATTTTCATGTTTTGTTCGTTTTCTAAAGCTGTTCCTCCAAATAACCAGTCTGGCCAGTCTCCTCTGTTGTCTCCTCTCCCAGGACCAGATGGACCAGGAGTACTTCGAGTTGAGCAAGATGACGGTGATCAGCTTCGATTTTTCGTTGGTGAAGTAGAGCACCTTTGCTGCAGGAAGGCCTGCTGGTCAGACTCCAACCACGTTGAAACACGTTGAAACCATTTCAAAGCCATTCCCAGGTGGCTCAAGATGGCTCAAGCAATCTTAAACATCTTAAAGAGTCCTGGAAGGAGTCCCTGAGGTTACAACCCTTCGATGCCGGCCCAATCTTGTGGAAGTGCATTCCGCAGCCCCAACTTTGCAGCAAAGCAGCTGCTTGGCACTGAAGCCTCGTTCGTTCACACATGTTTTTTTTTTGCCATGTGAAAAAGAAGGCAGGGACAACCTGAGCATACTCGATTCTATTTCAATCCCCCTCGTTTGATCTCGAATGAGGATGAAGACCCCAAGGAGCGCAAAGTGGTGCAGAAGGCCCTCTACCTGCAACCCGCTCAGCAAGTGGATTTGCTGCAAGAGCTGCAAGGCTGGAAATAAAGCAGAACTGAATTAAAGTTAAGCACATTGAAAAATACATGAGAAAAGGGTCAAGAAATGTCAAGAATAAGAAACATGAGGACAGTGATTGAAAGCTTGCACAATCATCATTTTATCATCAGCCACAAGATGTGGAGATCGTGGATTGTCTATGCTTTCAGGCAGGTCTCAACGGACTGCTGGTGTCCTTTCGTGGCTTGAGGACCTCAAAGTAACTCAACAATCTTGAATCGAACAATCCATGTTCGTAGAGCTGCTCAGTTCAGTAAACCTATATGGTTCATGTACATCAACAGTAGCGTTTGCTAGCCCATGGCAATTATGTCAGCGAAGAGATCTCAGATTATGTGAGAGGATGCCAAGAAGAGCGGCATCGCTGCTTGCATATGGCAAGAGGCGGGGCGAGTGAGTTGATTGGAGTTTGGAACCACTTGGAACCACGAGATCGCACGGGTCACGTTAGATAACGTTAATTTAATATATATATATATAATTATATATATGTATATAACCAAAGATGACAGACGATGAGATCGCAACTTGAAGCAGTTCTCAGGCCTATGCTAGACTGGTCCTGGAAGAGGAACACGAAGGTCATCCATGTGGCTTGGAAGCACATGGAGCACCGTCAGCTATTTGGCTGTATGTCCTGCGAGTCCAGGTTTGACGCTATCGGCAAGTCATCCTTATGCAGGCAAGGCTTTCATTCAAGGCATCAGTGCATATCGTCGATAGGCCATTCGCTCATGTGATTCCCGCATCAACATTTTCTGTTTGGTTCTGTTGGCAGCGAAAGAACAGGTACACTGTACCGCATCGTGCTTCTCCTCGCATTCCTTTATCCCTCAGTGCTGGCAACTTGACCAAACATGTGCAACCATTTCCCTGAACAAACTGAAGCAACATACGCAACAGTTCAATATGTTCAATGTTCTGGCCGGGCGAACAAGGTCCCAACTCGCTCTGAACTGGCCTTTCGAATCTTCCGGGAGAGCAAGGTCTGAATTTTTAAGACCCAAAGTTCTGCCAAGAGCCTTGCAGCTCAAGTCGCTCAAAATCCTCAAAGTCAAGTCAAGATTTGAGAGACTCCCAGTAAGAGCTGCCAAGCCTGCTACGCTGGCGCAGGTTCAAGGTTGCTTGCACCAACACTTGAAGAATGTTCCTTGGCAAAAAAGGGAGATCATTTATATTGATATCGTGTCAGCTGAAATGTAGGAGGGAGTTATCACAAGAGAAAGAACTGTTCTGGATTCGGCTGTCACTGGAAGGCTTTGAAAATATTGGCCTTCAACCAGCAGTCTTCTGTGCGAGCGGGGGCTTTTCAGGCAGGTGACATGTTTCCCTTGAGTTTCGCTGATAAATCAAATCATGGTCAACAGGGCTGAATGTTGATCATCCGCTTTGAGGGACTACTATTTTAAGGATTACATTCTTTGTCATTTCAAAACTCTTGCAACTTGCCAAGTGGGTCCACTGCATGGTTCAATCTGGACAGCCATCAACAGTTTACAGTATGACTCCTGGTCTTCCCTGCTGTGACACACGGGGAAGTGTTGCACCGAGCGGACAGCAGGGGAAGGTGATCACACCGCTCTTCACCTATCAGACAGAAGCAGTACAAAGATTGTTGCAGTCCCGGCACAATGGAGCGATCCTCGTCCAATATTTAACTTGTCCCGCAAGAAAAGAGTGTAGTTTTGAAGTAGCTTGCGGAGGATGGGAGAAATCTGAGACGCGTGATGCCGCGTGATAGTGAAATTGTTTGACGGCATGGAGGTTGTTTCCCTTCGGACACCTGTTGTTCTGCATGGGTGTTCCAAGGGCTGGATCATTGGATGCCTCGTCTCTGGGTGCTGGCAAGACGTTGGTAGCCATTAGCAGCTCAGCTTTGGAGAGTAGTCATTATTGTGTTACCCGTATTTACCCGACTTTGGTGGGGTTGGGGGGCCATAAGTTCAATTGACTGACATGAAGCGGGGAGCCAGAAATTTGATTGATTGAGAAGAAGTCCGCTGCACTGTGGCAAGGACAATGTGACTAATGTGACATTTGTTCATGTTTTTTCCACCCGGTGAGGCTTTTGCATGTTCCTTGCAGCTCAACACTCGGGTGGCGAGTTCTTGGTCCTGGTTCCATCCAGCTCGTTGATGGATGGGTGGCGCCAGCAGATCGAGCAACACACTGAAGGCAGAGAAATTTCTGTTCAAAGCGGTGCTAACAGCGGCAGCATTCGATCGCGTGTTTGCCCTGTCCAGCTCAAGCTGGCCAGGAGTTAGAGTGCAAATGCAGCAGGAGAATGGTGTCCTGCGAGAAGTCCGATCCCGAATTGCTACAGAAGTGTATAGAAGTGTGGGATATTGATGGATATTGCCTGATATTGCAGAAGTGTTGGTGCTGTTTTGACTGAGTATCGAGAGATCACTGCTGTGGTTCACTGTGTCATCGCGTTGCGAATCGATACGAATTGTGTGAAGAGATGCCCAGGGGGTGCAGCGAAAGTCACCGAACCAGACTTCACCACTTCGCCGAAAGCGCCCGGCCACCGCCACGTGGCAGCCATAGGGTTATATAGGGTTTACTCGCAGCGTTCGCATCACAAATCATGACGTGGAATGACTGTCCTGATAACATCGCTTCTTACCTATTCTTACCCTGTGCTTGCGTCACTGTTACAGATTGGAGTGAAGGCTTAGCACAAAGGTAGCACAAAGGACTTCAGGAGAATTTCATAGAGACAGAGATCCAATATGTCAGTCAGTCAGTCAGTCAGTGGAGAAAAAGCAACATATCGTGACACATAGATACACATAGCCCATCCCGTCCAATAGCTGCGTTTGCTTTTGTAGCTGTGTTGCCAAGTATTGGTTCAACTGTATCCTGGAAAGCCTAGACTGCAGACTGAAAAGCCCACCAGAACGAAATTTGGTTCTTTCTCGTGCGCGGATGTGATGATACGTTGAGCCGAGTGTGAACAGACAATGTGAAGAAATCTTGACTGGCCTCGTTTTGTAGGTGCCAAGGTCAAACACGTTAAAAGATCATCTGAAATCAACAGATCAACACTCCGAAACATTTGTTGCTGTTGTTTGTGGAAGCAGAGGGACATCCGGACACATCCAGACACATCCGGACACATCGTGGACCTTCCAAGCCATGTGGCCCATGTGGCCCATGTGGTCTCCACGAGTTGTTCCGAAGCTCCGGCGCTTCCAAGCTCGCATGAAGAGCGGAGGCGAAGTCAAGCTTTTCTCAGAGCTTTTGTAAGAGTGAAAGCACTGAAATACATTGAATAATACAAATACTGTAAATAAATAAATAAATTTATATAAATTGAACATTTGAACAACAATTGACTTTCCATCTCTTTCCGCATTTTTGGTGCCCGGCTGACCGCAGGCAAGAACCGTTTCAACATGGTGCGCCAACGGGCCGCATATCAACACGTGTTGATCTCAGTGAGCCAATTCGGTGTCCAGTGGTTGGGATTCTCTTCAGGAGCGTTGGCTCTGATATGGATTGATGATTGATCCAGCATTTGGATGTATTTGACTGCATTTGGATGTTCGTAGATTTGCTATAATTACCTATGATATCCTATGATTATGTGTGATTATGCATGTGTAATTATAGCAATTACCTATAATGACCTATGATATCCTATTATTATGCATGTATACATTTGAATCTGATATACTTTCATTGCAGATTTGTGATTCTGCAACCAGGTGGACTACGTTCGACAGCTGGAGCCGCCACGGCCTTACCGCTCAGCTGAAGTCGACCCAGGACTGTGGAGCTCCAAAGAAGAGATCCGTGCCATGGCAAGACTGGATACATCTGCGGATACATTATTGATTATGGATAGTTATGTTATGGATAATTAAAGGACCGGATAACCCCACATGTTACCAACTTCTTTAGACTTAGACTGACCATAGAAGAGCAAGAAGGGAAGAGGAAGTATAAGAGTGATGGAGCGGTGATGGTGGGTGAGTTTGTGTGTATTTATGTATGTTCATGTACAGTGAGTGAGTGAGAGTGTGAGTGAGTGATGCGAGTGTGGTGTGTGTGAGTGAGGGATGTGAGAGTGAGTGAAGTGAGTGAAGTGAAGTGAAGTGAAGTGAAGTGAAGTGAAGTGAAGTGAAGTGAAGTGAAGTGAAGTGAGTGGGTGAATGAGTGAGTGCGGTAGGTGAGGTAGGTGAGGTAGGTGGTGAGGTAGGTGAGGTAGGTGAGGTAGGTGAGGTAGGTGAGTTAGGTGAGGTAGGTGAGTGAGTGAGTGAGTGAGTGAGTGAGTGAGTGAGTGAGTGAGTGAGTGAGTGAGTGAGTGAATGTGAGTGAATGTGAGTGAGTGTGAGTGAGTGTGAGTGAGTGTGAGTGAATGTGAGTGAGTGTGAGTGAGTGTGAAGCCTCCCATTAACGTCCCCACCACCGGCCAACGTGGTGTCGGCTCGACCTAAGCCGAACCGTTTGGTAAGGACGAAGGCATCGACCTCAGTGAAGAAACAGACTTAGACGGAGCACAGAAAGCGAGAAGGGAAGAGGAAGGATAAGAGTGATGGAGGGACGATGGTGGTATGTAGGTAGGTAGGTAGGTAGGTAGGTATGTATTTAGGTATCTATGTATGTATGTACGTAGGGTAAGTTGTTTGTGAGTAAGTTGCTTCGCTTTCATCGAGCTCCACCAGGCTCTGATGTTTTTTTTCCGACACACTATCAAAACGATGGTGTGCTCACCATACTTGCGCTGACCAAAGTAATGTTCTGCACTCTTTCGAGCGCAGCCGCACATTTTGTGATCTCTTTCTGCATGCCCTGTGGCTGGTAAACATCGCTGGCACATGATGATGATGATGATGATGATGGTGGTGATGATGATGATGAAGATGATGTATGTGAGTGAGTGAGGGGGTGAAGTGAAGTGAAGTGAAGTGAAGTGAAGTGAAGTGAAGTGAAGTGAAGTGAAGTGAAGTGAAGTGAAGTGAAGTGAAGTGAGTGAGTGAGCGGGTGAGGGAGGGAGGGAGGGAGGGAGTGAGGGAGTGAGGGAGTGAGTGAGTGAGTGAGTGATTGTGTGTGTGTGTGGGTGAGTGGGTGAGTGGGTGAGTGGGTGAGTGAGTGAGTGAGTGAGGGAGTGAGTGGGTGAGTGAGTGAGTGAATGAGTGAGTGAGTGAGTCAGTGAGTGAGTCAGTGAGTGAGTGAGTCAGTGAGTGAGTGAGTGAGTGTGAGTGAGTGAGTGAGTGAGTGCGTCAGTGAGTCAGTAGGTCAGTCAGTGAGTGAGTGAGTCAGTGAGTGAGTGAGGGCGTACATCCAACCCCTTTGGCCGATTGTCCCACGCCTGCCACGCAAAAGAGGCGGAGACCCAGGGACGCCAGCGGAACCCCGGGGCGTACATCCGACCCCTTGGCAGTGCATATTGTCCCACGCCTGCCACGCAAAAGAGGCGGAGACCCAGGGACGCCAGCACATTGGTCCCGGCCTGCCACGCAAAGAGGGAGACCCAGGGACGCCAGGGAACGACATCGACCCCTGAAGTGCCACATTGTCCCACGCTTGCCACGCAAAAGAGGCGGAAGAACCAGGGACGCCAGCGGAACCCGGGGCGTACATCCGAGCCCTTGGCAGTCCACATTGTCCCACGCCTGCCACGCAAAAGACGCGGAGCCCGAGGGACGCCAGGGCGTACATCCGACCCCTTGGCAGTGCACATTGTCCCACGCCTGCCACGCAAAAGAGGCGGAGCCCGAGGGACGCCAGGGCGTACCTCCGACCCCTTGGCAGTGCACATTGTCCCACGCCTGCCACGCAAAAGAGGCGGAGCCCGAGGGACGCCAGGGCGTACATCCGACCCCTTGGCAGTGCACATTGTCCCACGCCTGCCACGCAAAAGCGGCGGAGACCCAGGGACGCCAGCGGAACCCCGGGGCGTACATCCGACCCTTTGGCAGTGCACATTGTCCCACGCCTGCCACGCAAAAGCGGCGGAGACCCAGGGACGCCAGCGGAACCCCGGGACGTACATCCGACCCCTTGGCAGTGCACATTGTCCCACGCCTGCCACGCAAAAGCGGCGGAGACCCAGGGACGCCAGC